TGAAATTTGACCCGAAAAGGTAAACAGGGTTAAACAAAATTAATATGGAGCATTAGTCACTTTTAAAAGTAAGTTACTCCTTTATTTTAAATGGAACACCCACTATATTTTTTCAGTGTTCAATGGAGAATTTATATATCTTCAAAATATTATTAAGGTTGCTTACCCCTCAGACAAACATTTTCCTAGATATTTTAAATTTTATGATTTTCCGTCAGTAGATCTTTATTATATGAAAAAATCTAGGTGGCTATGATATACCTTTTGTTAATTTAACAAAAATTATAGATTGTAGTATACTCAACGGTAATAAAAATAAAAAGATACACGTTTAAAACATATTTTAATTATTACAGAATTAAAACTAGATATAAACCTATAATTATGTGACAAAAATTGGCTAGATGAAACGAAATGCTCAAAATGCTTCCTTTCCTGTTAACTGCATAAAATGATTGTCTTTTCAAAAGGATCTTTTCATTTTAAAAGGCATTTATGTGGAGTTCTACCTCGAAAAGCAACTACAATAATTTCAAATCAAATCATGTAAATGAAAATATCTAGGAAAATGTTTGTTTGAGGGGTAGGCAACCATAATAGTATTTTGAGGAGACATGAATTCTCCATTGCATATCGGAATAATATAGTGGGTGTTCCATTTAAAATAAAAGAATAACATGCTTTTAAAGGTGACCTATGTTCATTATTATTTTTTTTCTCACCCTGTATAACTCTTCGGATCATTGATTTAAAGTACAATAGTTAATTTAACTACATATTAGGCTATACCGGGTAAATTCCAATTTAGGTAGCTTTTATTGTTATTTAAAAATTGTTCTTTATTTCTAGAAAATGTTAAATATGTTAAAAACCTTACATTTTAGTCATACACTTCTCTTATAAAACTGACCTTTATTTTTCACCCAGAATCCGAAAATCTATTAATATATAGGGTGTTCCATTACAAAAAACACAACTTTGATATGTAACTTTTTTTGGGGACACCCTGTAGAACTCTCTATATTTTTATTTTACACTAGCGTGTACCAACGACTTCGTTCGCGTCGAATTAATCATTTGTAATGGTGATGATAAAGCAAAGCAAGAATTTCCATTAACATACCAACTGGATAAAATTTTCTCA